AAGGTCAGGTATGGTTTTCAATAGGTGTAATCTCTGATTATCAATTCAATTTCTTTTATGGTCATTAGTCTACTACTTTCTACTTCTGCAACCAATGTTCCTAATTTACATTTCTGTCAGAAGTGCTCCATTTCAGGCACCTGGGTGGCTCAGTCGGTGAAGCCTCTGCCTTCGGCTCAGGTCGTGACCCCAGGGTCCTGGGATCGAGCCCCCCATCAGGCTCCCTGCTCAGCAGGAAGCCTGCTTCTCCCTCTTCCTCTGCCTGCTTGTGTTCCCTCTCTCGCTGTGTCTCTCTCTGTCAAATAAATCTTAAAAAAAAAAAAAAAAGTACTCCATTTCATCTAGGATTTCGTGTAGTCACTCAAATGGGGATCTGTCAAGTACATACTGTGTGCCTGCTAGGCCCTGCTGAAGATGCTGGGGACAATACCAGAAGCAGAAAGGCCCCTGCTGTCACAGAGCTTACAGTCTGGGGGAAGAAAGCAAAGAACAGAAGAGCAAACAAATCAAGAAACAAGACAATCTCAATAAGGAGAAATCATTATCAAAATGGGGTGATGGGCAACAGAAAACGTGGAGGAGAGGAAGCACTCCTGGGCTGGGAGGCCGAGGGAGTGAGGGCAGTCACTGGAAATAAGAACAGGCCACAAGGAGCCAGATCCTATAGGTCCTCGTAGGCCGCTGAAGGAACCTGGCTTTCCTCTGAGAGAAACGGGGAGCTGCTGGAGGTTTTGAGCAAATGACTGATTACAAGAGTTAGAGAAACAGCCCAGGAAGAAGAAAGTCAAAGGGAGCGAGCCGGAGGAGAGAAGGTCATGGAGCGTGACAGGGAGAGGAGAGTCAGGGGCTTCTGAAGGACCTAAATGTTCACCCTACATGAGACAGGAAGCCACGGAAGGTTCTGAGTGGAGGAGTGACACGCTCTGGCTTTCATTTTCATAGGATCACCCGGTTGCTGGGCTGTGAACAGACTGAGGGGTCCCTAGGGAGACAGCGGGATGTCGGGAGACCACGTGGCTCGAAGAAGCTGTCGCGGTAGGGGTCAGATGAAGTGGGTGGATTCTGGGTGCATCTGGGAAACGGTGTGGACAGAACCAGCTAACGTACTGCATGTAGGGCGTAAGCAAAGGAGGAGCAAGAGATGATTCTAAGTGTCTGAAAGAAGGGAAGCCCTCAGACTGACGCATGGACAGTCCTTTCGGAGTCAGAAGCACAGAGACAGAGGAGAGGGGGAGATGCAGCTGGGCGGCACACAGGTCCTAAGTTCAGAGTGAGACCAGTCAGAACGGGGGACAGGTGTGGAAAAGGCAGAGCTGGATTAAACGCTGGGCACAGCCTGAAGAGACCATGGAGATGGAGGAGAGGGGCAAGGGGGCTGCATGCAGGCCGCCGCACGGTGATGGCCAGCAGCTGCCTAGATCCCTACAGCACTTCTTTTGGGGCTCACGGGTCTGTTCCAGCATGTCTCCTGTTTTCTTAAAGAGAGCTTGTGGTATTAACGTTCTACATCCTTACTTCTCTCTAGAAACCTTCATTCCACGTCTTCATGACTGGTAGTCTGTCTGGAAGACTTCTGAGGTACAATTTACTTCCCTGAGCCCTGAGAAGATACTGTTCCAGTGTTGTCCTGCATCCAGCACTGCTGATGAAAAGTCTGATGTAAATGTCATTCTGTTTCCCAAGTAGGGGATTCTTCTGGTAGAATTTGGAATTTCCTATACACCCTTCTTATTCTAAAGTACCACTACAATGTTTCTAGGTGACCATTCGTACTCAATATAGTCTGGCATGGGTTAACCGAGGCGCTTCGGGGTCGACCCCAATCTGAGCTCCAGAGTTGCCTGGGGCACGCTACTGACATGGGGCCAAAGCCGTGGCCAAGGTAAGTGATGTCTGCATCCATGGGCTGCTGCTTATTTAGGGGCAGGATGCGCCAGCTTGCCAGGACTTGTCAGCAATCATGACTGGGTTTATGACTTGCACCTGATTTCGGTGGTGCCTGGGCAGTCACACAGGTTGAGGCTGATGATAAAGACAGAACGTGCTTTCATGCCCATCTCACAGACCCCCCACAAGGAGGTTCTGGGCCTCCTCCTACCACAGGTGTGGCCACGTGGGCCGGTGATGGCCTCTGAGTGTCCAAGGCCATGGGGCCTGCACCTGAGACTCTCAGGTCCCTTCAAAAAGGAGCCTCTTCTACCGTTGCTGCTTTGTGCACTTTGCCTATAAATGGTGGAGTCCTAGGAATCCTTTCAACAACCAAACATTTAAATTAATTAAAATATAAAGTAGCACACATATGTAAAAGGAGTGAAATTATTAACTGCAGTATGAGAAATAAAACCTCTGTAATGAATTATGACAATCCAGATATATTCCTGTTGAAAATAAATTTCTCAACTTCTCCAAAGCTGTTGGTTCTTCTGAGTCAAGCAGTCTCTCTGATAATTACTTTCTACAGAGCACAACTGTCTAGCAGAAATAAAAATGCAAGCTGCATATGTTACTTTAAAATTTCTAAAAAAAAAAAGGTAAAAAGAAATGGGTGAATTCAATTTTAATAACATATTTTAACCTACTATGTCAAGAACATGATCTTTTCAATAGGCAATCAAAACAGGTTACTAATGAGATATTTTACATTCTTTTTTCACACTAAATCGTCAGAACTCCGCATTTTCACACTTAGGAAACATCAGTTGAGACTAGCTAACTCCAAGGGTTCAAGTGCTGCACTCGGCTACTGTAGCAGGCCATGCAGCAGTGGAGGGTCTGAACCGAATTAGTCAGTTACTGGGGCTAACAGTAAGCTCTCTCTTTTCAGAAACTGGGTGGCCTGGCTTCCTCTTTGCTACCATTATTAAATGGTCTGTTTCTTTCTGCCAAGTGCCTACACTTCCACTCTGAACTCACCCCCACCCCATTTCTGCTGTAGGTCACTGGGCCTCAAATGCTGCCATGTTCCTGCCTAACAATATATGCTAGTTCCTTTGTCTGTAATGTTCCTTGTGTGGTGCTTCTTGCGGAGAAAGACTGCATGGACATGTGCTTCAGTACTATTTTGTTCAGTTGTGCAAATCCATTAATTTAGAATTAAAATACTGCATTTTCAAATGTTATAGCACGAAATGAAACTGGGTTATGAATAAGACCCAGCTTCCATCACAGGAAAAGCTGTGCTGAACCATGCCAACTCAGAGTTCTTTGCCTCAAGCTGAAAATCATCAACTGGTGGGAGCTATTAAATTTCAAAATTTATCAACTACTATGAAATAAAACCACCTGGTTCTCAGTCACATGGATTTGCTAGTATTGATCTTCATAAAAGTTAGACCAAGATGTTCTCATAACTTAGGTATGTGAATGTGGTTTAATTTTTTCTTTACAACATAAATGTTTTCATGTCTGGTAAGTTTGTAACATTGGCTAAAGGTCTGACATGTGCCCAGTGATCGCTGGTTTTCTCCTTGATATGAATCCTCTCGTGTGCAGTAAATTTGATACCAAAACACCTTTGTCATGGAGCCTTTCCAAGGTGCATTTTCGGATATAATCAATCTTGAATATTTGCTGAATTTCTTATCAAATTCACATCTCTGAAAGGCTCCCCTCCTGTACAAATACTGAGAAGTTTATTAAGGCTGATGCAATGCTTTAAGAAACTTCCTCATTCACCGTAACTGAAATTCACAAAGACTAGAACATATGCTAAGAGCCTTCCCATAAACTCTACATTTACAAAATTTCTCTCCAATATGAATCCTCCAATTAACATTAAGGTAGAACACTGGCTGCTGGCCTTTCTACCAAGTGACTGTTTATAAGATTAGATATAAAACAAAACTATAGGAAAACTAGAAACAGCCATCAAGCTTCATAAAAAGTTTGCAACGAGAGACTACTATATTTCAATTACAGCACGTGAATAGATGTTAATACATGTTTAAGCCCTGAATGAATTACTCACCTCTCAATAATTAATCCATCTGAATGGTGAGTATTGCGATATTATAGAGGTAATGGGAAATTACATAGAATTCAAATGTAATACTGTGCCCTTCAACCTAAATTCTGCCAATCCCTTTAATTTGCTTAAAAGTACTTAAGGCATATAAGTTAAAGAGTAGGAGATTAATTAGCTTCATTATTATAAAAAGAAAGGGTGAAAAAAGACATACATGTTCATCCTGGCACTGGACACTATCCGACCTAAAGAGGAACACGGAGTAGGTAGAGGGGAAGGAAGGAGCAGTGCTTCTGTAACACTTGGCCAAAGTAAACACTTGCTGAAAACTGACGTCCTGAACTCAGTTTTCTGAAACCACACTCTCACCCCCCACTCTCAGCAACCTTGGCCCGCGAGGTGCCTCTCACCACTCTCGGCCAGGATGCTCACTGACCACCCCCAGGCTACCACCTACACTCAGCATCACTCACGCAGCCTTCCTCGCCACCAGGATTGCCTTGGCAGGCGCACTCTGCACCGCAGCTAAGGCCATGGGTGCCCCCCTGCCCCCTCGCCCCCAGCAGACAGTAGGCTGCTGTATAAGCAGGGACCCTTCACATCCCCAAAACCTTGACAAGTGTCTGGTATATGGAACCCATCAGTTTTTGAAGAACCTATCCTATTTAGAGTCATGTAGATACCTTCAAGATGCACCTTCTAGAAAATAGTTTATTTCCTAAGTATTAGAGGTGATTTTAATTGCTTTGTTCTCTTGTATCCTAAAGAGTTTTTGTTTTTTTTTTTTTTAAAGGAGAGGTAAGCATCAATAGCATTATATGAATAACATATGACTCAGTTATTATTTCCCTAAGAGATTTTACAATTAAAATCCTGGTCAGTCACATATTAAGTAAATAAATATTATAAAGAAAAAGTTAACATCGCTGTAATATGGAAATAAAAATTTTTATCTTTTTTTGGTATGTGCCATTAAGCTACATGCCTATTTAACCTCAATGTCCATGGAGGATATCTCCTAGGAAAATGTACTTACCCTGACATCAGTAGCATCTCCATGCCTGATAATACTGGCCCAAGTGGCTGGCTCACTGCTGTTTTCAAAATAATGAAAGACCTTCAACACTCGCTCCATTGCCCCAGGGGAACGTTCCACTCCAGTACCCAGGTGAGGCTTGGTACTCGAATTCGGTGTGTGATTCAAGTTTGGGTCAAGGTAAGCAGCTGCCATTATTTTGCTAGATGCTATGTATCTGTCATACTCTAGAAGAGGGAAAAAAAAAAAAACTGTCAGTGTACCATATTTGAAATCTATTAAAATGTGACATACTAATCCTTATATTAACAACACTGTTCTATGTTCTTCCCCTACGGTCATGTCATATGCAGAAGGTGAGCACCGGGAGAACTGAGACGTGATTTACCAAGATAATCACTGTACTCCCCCGCACGCAGAGCAGTACCTAATTCACGGTAGCATAACAACTCTTTGTTAAATTTTTACTAATAAATTAAAAGGCCAGGAGTCCTATTTCAGCTCTGTCAAAAATTCACCACGTTATCTATAAACAATGTCCCCTCACCCTCCTCCCTTTTAAAATCATAGCCTTTAAATCTGTGGGGAAATCTCATAGGAAAGTCAAATACGTTAATTTTGTTGCCTACTTTTGAAAACTTCTATGTGAGATGCAAGTTCTTTCTTCATACAATAAAAACTCAATGAGTGGTCATGACACGAAAACGCAGAGTTAAAACCAAGTCCTCCCGCTTCGCCAGTCCCTCAGCAGGAGAGTCAGACAAGCCACAACTGAAAGCAAAACTAAACCGCAAAGCATAAACAAACCAATGTCTGCTGGTGTGACAGGACCTCCGTCTGGATGTGGGGGGATGGTGTGGCCAAGATTAACACTCCCACTGAGAAAACTCAGGAAAGTCAGATTAAAAACCAGCCCAGTGTCTGGAGTCCGAGATGTTGTGAGGCAAGCAGGACAGCAGGGGACACAGATAGAGACATAAGAGACACTGAACAACTGCCTTTCCCAAAGGGCATTTGCCGATTCTGGGCCTTCGAGAGCCTGAAGATCCAAGAAAAGCCACCGATGAGAGAGAAGCCAGCTGAGCTTCTGGCAGTGAGAGACCAAGTTATGAGCGTGGGGACCCCAGGACTCTGGTGAGCAGGACAGGGTGGAGAACTGACCCACACACTCTGCTAGTTGTCCCTTTACGACAGTCACCAATCCTGAAACCAAGAGCAGAGGGAGCCTCTAGAAGCTCGGTGAGGCTGAAAACAGGCAGAAGGGACTAGGAGTCCACCTGGGACCAGGACACAAGACAGGAACAGCAAGACTGACAAACTCAATCTAACCAATAGAAAGCACTACGCCCGAGCACAATTCACCTCTGCAAGGGAAATACCCAGTAACTATGCACAGGAGGTATTCACTAAAACTGACCACATGCCGGGTGAAAGAGTAAGATTCAATAAATATCAAAGGACTAAAATTATTAAAAGTATATTCTGTCTCTAGCATAAAGCTGGACAACAAAATAACTAGAAAATCTCCAACTGGGGGCGCCTGGGTGGCTCAGTTGGTTAAACGACTGCCTTCGGCTCAGGTCATGATCCCAGGGTCCTGGGATCGAGCCCCGCATCGGGCTCCCTGCTCCTCAGGGAGCCTGCTTCTCCTGGAGCCTGCTTCTCCCTCTCCCTCTGTGTCAAATAAATAAAATCTTAAAAAAAAAAAAAGAAAAAAAAGAAAATCTCCAACTGTTTGGAAATTAAGCAATGTCTTTCAAGTAACCCATTAGCCAAAAAGAAACTCCAAGTATTCTGAATTCAACAATACAATTAAAAGAAAGATCAACACTACATGCAGACAGAGCTGTGATTAGATTAAAATCTACACTTTTTTTTTTTTAAGACTTTATTTTTAAGTAATCTCTATACCCAACCTAGGGCTTGAACTTACAACATCGAGATCAAGAGTTGTGCGTTCCACCTACTGAGTTGGCCTGGCATCCCTAAGATCTATACTCTTAAATGCATGTATTAGAAATGAAGATTGAAAATTAATGGTCTAAATATCCGTATCTCACAGTACAATTTAGAAGTCGAACAAAATCAAGGTGTTTTTTTTTAACAAGAATAATGCAACTGATAGACCTCTAGCAAGACTAATCAAGGGAAAAAAGATAAGGCGAAAACTAGTAACATCAAGGATGAAGCAGAACAGGTAAGAGAACGTTAATAATAGGAGGTAATGATAGAATATCAGATATTAATAAGAGAGTATCATGAACAACTTTATGTCAATGAACATGAAAGATGAGATGCATACACAATTCTTTTTTTAAAATATTTTATTTATTTATTTAACTGAGAAAGAGAGAGAGCACACAAGCAGGGGGTAGTGGCAGAGGGAGAGGGAGAAGCAGGCTTCCCACTGAGCAGGGAGCCTGACTTGGGGCTTGATCCCAGGACCCTGGGATCATGACCCAAGCCGAAGACAGACACCTAACCAACTGAGCCATCCAGGTACCCCGAGATGCATACACAATTCTTTGTAAAGTACAATTTAAGCCATTATAAACTGCTATTGTACAAAACCAAAACCAGAAATATAAAGCCTAAACAGACCTATTCCATTAAAAATGGTCAGTCTGTAATTAAAATTCTTCCCACAAAGGAGTATCTGAATTCTTCCAATAATTTAAGGAAGAATAATATTAATCTTACAGAAATTCTTCCACTGAACAAACAGGGAACATTTCCCAACTTATCTTATGAGACCAGCAAAACAATGATACAAAACCAGACAAGGACAATATGAGAAAGGGTACAAATCAATCTTTCTTTATAAACACAGGTACAAAATCTTAAAAAAAAAAAATCAGCAATTTAATCACACATTTTTAAATAATATATTATGACCAAGAGGGGTTTGTTAAAGGAATGCAAAGGTGGTTAAACGTTCAAAAAAGTGATCTATGTTTGCAGCAGCCTTCATACCAAAGCATGAAAGCCACCAAGACACCCTTCAGCAGGTGAAAGGATAAACAAACGGTTTATTCCATCCAGGCAATGGAATATTTAGTGCTAAAAAGCAATGAGCTACCAAACCATGAAAAGACTTAGGGGAACCTTAAATGCATATTACTAAGTGAGAGAAGCCGATCACAGTATATGATTCCAACTATATGACATTCTGGAAATGGCAAAACCGAAGAGACAGTAAAATTTCAGTGGATGCAGAGTTTGGGGGGCAGGGATGAAAAGGTGGAGCACAAAGGATTTTTAGGGCAGTGAAAATATTACGTATGACAGTATAGTGATGATACATGTCATTACACATCTGTCCAAACCCACAGAATGTACCCACCAAGAGTGAACCGTACGGCAAACTGTGGACTTCGGGTGATACTGATGTGTCCATGTAGGTTCATCAGTTATAACACATGTACCACTCTGCTGGGGGATGCTGATAATGGGGAAGGTTATGCATGTATCAGGGCAGAGGGGAAATCCCCGTATCTTCCCTCAATTTTGTTGCGAACCTAAAACTGCTCTAAAAAAAAAAAAAAAACAAAAAAACTGTCTTAATTTTTTAAAAAAAGCAATCGATGTAACTGACCAGATTTCAGAAAACAGAAGAACCACAGGTGTCTTAATATATGCAGAAAAAGCATCTGGTAAAGTTTACCAACAACTCATGGTAAAAACTCTTAGCAAAGTAAAAACAGGAAGACGTTTCTTTGAACTGAAGGTGAGTATTTACATTAAACCTAACTTAAATACTGCTGGGAAGAGCCCCTGCCACGCCTCCAAGAACAGAAGCGAGTCCGTGGGTGCCCACCACTACCACTTCTAATCACCACTGTTCTGGAAGTTTTATATTAGCCAGGTTCTATGGGCAAAAAGAGAAGTAAAACACAGGGCTGGGAAGGAAGGAATAAAAATATCATTATTCCCAGACTGCATGATTATGTATGAAGAAAATCTGTAAGAATACTATACAGGTAAACTCCTGGAATTAATAAATGAATTCGTCAAGGTTGCTGGACAATCAGATGCAATCAGTGGTACTTCTAGTTCTTTCGGCGATCTCTCTTGCTCCCCGAGCTGGACAGCAAGGGTGAGCACACACCAAGTGCCAAGTGCCTCTTGAGAAGCAAGCCCGCATCTGCAGAGTCGCTCAGAGGAACTGACGTCCCAGCGGTGGAAATCACTACCTGTAATACCAAGTGTGCCGAGGGAGAAGCCAAACCAAAAACACTACACAAATACACGTCTGTGGCCCAAAATCAATGGCAGAATCCTTCATAAGTCTCCAAGAAGTAGGCAAAAACATGTCTCAAAAGATAAAGCCCTGCTATAATGCCACGAGAGTGAAGCAGCTCTCCGTGACAGAATGTGGTTTTGTTTTCCAGTTTAGTGCTTTCACCTGCTTGTCAAAATCCCATCTACGCTATGAATTCTCAAACTGGGGAGATTGCCACCACCAAGCTTTCCTGGACTCATGTAGACAGTTCTGTATCAGATTCTGTTAACAACCACCCACCTCCCCTACTGGCGGCATTCGCATTTGTCTTTCTGTTGGTCTGGAGGATTCTGAGATCTTGGCATCTCCGTCGCCTCTTTAGCAGTCACAAAACTTTGGTTTGGTCAGTTTGAGAGATGGTCTCAATTATGGAATGAGAAGTCCCAAGCGATGCTTTCTGCTACACGGACCGTTCTGTTTCTAATCACGGACAGAATTCCCTGTGTTGCTTGTGTGGCTCTGTATTTGCTTTTGACCCATGGCTAAAGCTGTACAATGGGGGCTGCCAATCTTCTGTGTCTCTAAATGAAACAAGCCCTCCACCATCCTCACCGCAGAGAAGTAGGCTTTTGCCAGGCTCTGTAACTGTAGCCCTCTGTAATCTGTGGCCAGTTCTAGCTTTGACAACATGTCCAGATTAATCAGCCATAGGCCACTCTGCCACTTGTGTGCATTACCAAGTATCTTTCCCAAACACCTGTCAAAGAGGAGGAAATGAAAAGATTTTAAAAACTGAAACTGGTTTTGGGGCACCTGGGTGGCTCAATCAGTTAAATGTCTGCCTTCGGCTCAGGTCATGATCTCAATCAACGCCCTGGGATCGAGCCCCGTGTCGGGCTCCCTGTTCAGTGGAAAGCCTGCTTCTCCCTCTCCCTCTGTCCCTACCCCCCGTTCCTGCTCTCTCTCTCGCATGCTCTAGCTCAAATAAATAAAATCTTTAAAAAA